ATGCTTGAATTGCACTCTTAAGTTCTTGAATTTTCACAAGTGTCCTAACAAAGTCAAAGGGTTGGGACTCCCTGATGACCACAAAGGGCAAATTGTCATTTGAGCAGACAAGAGCCAGAGTAACAATGGAGTTGTAACATATGTCACTTCATGTCACCTGACACCTACTGCCCTCAGATATTTCCTGGTGTCTGTAGTGTTGATTTGAGGCTACAATGAAGAATTGGGCAGAGTTTTTCAACCATGCAAAAATAGAAAAACAGTCTCATGAGCTCCCCTATTCAAAGTTGCAGGATTCAAACCCTGAAAAAGGTATAAACTAGGTTGTTGATTAGGATTTCATTAATTTAAATCCAGATTTTTTGATCTGATTGGTTTGTTTGTCCAAGCAACCCAAGTTCCTTGACTGTTCAAATTTTTCTTCCAGGAGGCCCCCCAAACCTGTCAGCCGCCGTGATGCCAAGGAGGATCCCTTCTAGCTACACATGGTGCAAAACGTAAGATGTTGGAGTTGGATCTCTGGGACTCAAGAGTCCGGGTGGTAATTCCAATGATGATTGGTAATTACTAGGTTTAGAAATAGTAGATATGATTAATTATATTAATAAATTTTGATATAATTTGAACAGAGGGGCCTGATAAATCAGGGATTGTTTAATCCCTGAAAGGTATTGTGCAAAAGCAGAGGATTTAGGTACCTGTTAACACTGGGGCCTGTGAACAGGTGTGGTTTAAATCTCAGAATAAAGTAGTGAGAATCTCAAGAAAGAAAGGAGCATAATTATGTACTAATAATGCTCCTTAAGTCTTGAGGTTCTGATAGACAGAGAATAAAAGCAAGAGACAATACATTAACAGACAGATACAAATGTTAAGCATTTGGGATGGTGGGTAATCTAAAGTGGGTTGTAATAATCTGATGAATCCTTATTTGGAGGGACAGAGGGTCGACTGATCGCCGTGGGGCATCTGGGAGATCAGGTCAACTTGTGGGCGCTTCATGCATGGA